AGCACCTGCCTCCCCCACCCCACCCCGCCCCTTCCTGCAGCCTGGTCCCCGCGGGGACAGAAGGATTTGCTGCCTTACTGGGGGGTGGCTGCCATTTGCATCTCCACGGCAGTCGCTTCTAGAATGTACGTTCCGAGGGGGAATGGGGCTGCTGCACACCTAGCATTGTGCCTGTCTCAAAGTGGGCACTCAATAAATATGTGTCCAAAGAAGGACATAATGAAAGCGCAGATGAATGGACGTCTCCCACACCCCATCGCTCTTCGTCTCCCGAGGGCCCCTGGCCTGGCCTGGCCTGGAAAAGTACTTGGTGACAGTCCAGCTGCTCGGGTTTCCAGGGGCTCTTGGGTTGGTATGGGGCCAGCTGGGCCTGGGCAGGCCTGTGGACAAAGGCTAGGATTGTGAGACTAAGGCGGGCCTGGCTGAGCCTGGCGCCTGAGGACATCCAAGCTGCCCAGAATCCACAACAGGGCTTGGTAAGGGAGTGTGGGGGTGCCTGCCCTTCAGACCCCTCTTGGCCCAGCAGTTAGGCTGTGTGTCTTGCTGCATTGCCCCCACCCCTCTCTGGAGCAGTTTTGTGGTGCCCCCACCAGGTCTGGATACGCATTCTTTGGGCCTAGAGATGAAGGCTGTGACTGTCTCTGTCTCTGTCTCTGTCTGTCTCTGTCTCTGTCTGTCTCTGTCTCTCTCTGTCTCTCTGTCTCTCTCTGTCTCTCTCTGTCTCTTTGTGTCTCTGTCTCTCTGTCTCTGTCTCTCTCCTCTCTCTCTCTCTCTCTCTCTCTCTCTCTCTCTCTCTCTCTCTCTCTCTCTCTCTCTCTTTGTGTGTGTGTGTGTGGGGGTACAGGGTAGTGGGAAGAAGAAGCTTGGCTACTCTCTTCACTCAACCCTGTGCTTCACACTAACCTCCTGGACAGGAGAGGTTGGCCTAGAAGCTGGCTCACTGTCACCACCTGGGGGCAAGCAGTGGGAAGGGCGTGCTAGGCTGTGTGTTTAAGCTACTTGCTTTTTGGCATCCCCGTCCCTCCTGAGAATCTGACTGGTGGTGACCAACTTTCTTGTCACCATTGTCACCCCCAGCTCTGCTTTCATTCTGAGGTTTGGTGCCCCCTGCTGGTGATGGGCGACAGCTGCAGAGCTGGGGCATGCCTGCCTGCCTCTTGACAGCCATTCCTTCCCCTGAAATTCCAGGGCTGTAACCCAAAGCCCTATGGGCCTTGAAGTGAAGACATTCTGTCCCTCGAAGAATCAGCAGACTTGCTACATGTTGTGACCCTGGCTTGTCTTGGGACCTTCCGTTAAATTGCTGCAAAGTCCAGTCTGCCATGGCGCTTTGCCAGTCCGACAGGGGAGATACACTTTGACCCCAGGACTTCCTGATCTACATGTGTGTGTCTGCCACGTGTGTTCTGGTGTCCACAGTGAAAGGTATTAGATTGCTTGGAGTTGGAATTACAGGTGTTTGTGAGCTGTCTGATGTGGGTCCTTTGGAAGGACAGCCAGTGTGTGCTCTTAACCTCTGAGCCGTCTCTCCAGTCCCACTCTACTGTCTCCAGTTCCACTCTTACCCCAGCTCTTTCTAAGGGAACCCCGAGTCTGTGGGTGAAGGCAGGGTTCACACCCACCTTACTTGCTCATCGTAAGGGAAGCAGTTGGTGGCCTTGGGACCAGGATAATAATGCCAGGAAGCATGAACTCATGAGCTCCTGGGCTGAAATGAATAACAGGAAAGGTGGAGCTTTAGGGCAAAGGACTGCATGTGTGTGGAGCTTGTCTGGCTCAGAGGAGGCAGCCCAAAGCATTGAGGTCAGATTGTCTACCTCCAAGCCAAAATGTCTTCTCCAGGGCCAGAAACCCACAGAAGAGACCCAAGGAGTAGGGTGAAGGGTGTCCCAGGCTGGAGTTAAATTCAGTAGTTCACGGAGACGAGCTGCCTGATGGAGATGTGGAGGTTAGGGGGTGGGTGTTGCCAGAGGCATACCTGGGTCATGGGGCACAGGGACCTTGCTGTCCACTCAGATGAGCAGAAACTGTTACCATCCCCCTCTAACACGAAACAGAATAAGGTAGCAAGCGGTGCCCAGAATCAGTGTATAACTACAGTCTCCAATGGGGAACCGTGATCCAGGTTCATTCTTAACCCTCACCCTCAAGGGCAGAGGGGAGCCTGGGGTGGAGGTGAGTGGATGGGGAGTGTGTGTGTGAGTGGGTGAGCTGAGGTTAGTGTCCCTCAAGGAAAATCCCATGTGTCAGCCAGCAGGTGGCACCCAAGGGCTCTTTCTAGGCAGCCTTTGAGGCCCCCGCCCCCCAGTTCCCTTCTAACAGCGATATTTATCGAGCTCCTACTAGGTTTCAGGCAGAGATCAAACAGGAGTGTCCGCTGGAATGCACACTGTAGAGGGAGAAGCATGGCAGCCACCAACCAAATGAAGGCAGCTGCCAACACGATGCGGGACACTCTACACACCAGGCACCCTTTAAGAGTTTCACATGTGTGAGCTATAATAGCCTCATGGGACAAACAATAAATCTCTCTCTCTCTCTCTCTCTCTCTCTCTCTCTCTCTCT